GGGTGGGTGTGGTGGGCCCCTTTGGTGGGTGGCGTGGGGGGGGGAAAAGGGGGGGTTTAGAGTGGGTGGGATGAGGGTGTAAAAGGGGAAGTGGCCGGGATGGGGTAAGCAGTATGTGTTCCCTGAGTTCCCCAACACCAGCGCGAAAAACAAAATCCCCCCATAAATTAAGGGCCCATGGTGGGTGTCAAGTCCCCGGGGCTTTGGTCCCCCCCTTCCCACCCCCGCCCCCCCCCCCCCCATCCCTGCTGATTGGGCGGGTGGGGGTTGGTGGGGGTGTCCGTTTGGGAAGTGGGCGGGGCCCCCCTCCAAAAAGGGAGGATGAGGCTAAACCCTTAAATATAAAGGGGAATAGTTGGTACTGAGAGGGTTGCAGCTGAGGTAAGCTATGGACAATAAAATATTGGTCAGCTGGGAGTCGTGCGTTTTTGGTGATTAAATTGTTGAGGGACCCGTCCACTTCAGCGGTATTCGGTGTTGAGGTCCCCTGTGTGGGCTGATCGGGAGGAGGCCAGTGCCCCCCTTCCGCTCTTTGGAGGTCGGATAATGGATTTTGTGGGTGGAGGGAGAGGTTGAACCTGGGTGATCAGCAGATGGTGACGAAGTTGAGATCGCACAAAACATTCCCCCTAGGCCGTAGGACGGGAAATTTCTGTTCCCCGTCGACGCTCCTAGCGGCTGACCCCCGGGCCCCCAGGGCCGAGGATGACCCAAAGTGCCCTCGAGGGGGGACGAGACGACTTCCCCTTCCCCACCCCCCCCCCTCTCCCCCTTCCCCCCCTCCCCCTGCGCGAGAACGGGACGGAGGGGGTTGAGGGGGAGGGGGTCGAGGAGGGGGGGAAAAGAGGGGGGGGGGCCGGGGGGTAAAGGGGGGGACCGGGCAGGGAAGGGGTCGTCGCCCCCTCTTCTAGCCCCGGCCCTCCATCCTCCCCCGTCCTCCCCCCCGGCTCCCAGCCGGGGTTTGGCCCATTCCCACCCCCCCCCCCACCCCCTCCCCCACCCCTGGCCCCCGGGCCTCCATACGTGCCCCAAACCCCCAAAATAACAACCACAAAACAAACGGAATTATTAAACAAAAAAACCGGGAAATTTTGCCCCTTAAATTTTTGCCCTATAAATATTTTCCTTCCCCATTCTTCCTTCTTCTTAGTTTTCCTTATTCCTTTCTTTTTTTTCTTTCTTAAATTTTTTATTTTTTGATTTTATTTAGATCTTTTCTTTTAAAATTTTTGATTTCAAACCTTGTTTTTTACTAATTATTATTTTTTAAATTTTTATTTTATTATTATTATTTATTATTATTATTTTTATTTTTTTATTTTTTTTGTTATTATTATTATTTTATTATTATTATTATTATTTTTATTATTTTTATTTTGTTATTATTATTATTATTATTATTATTATTATTATATTTTATTATTATTATTATTATTATTATTATTATTTTTATTATTTTTTATTATTATTATTATTTTATTATTAATTTTTTTATTTTAATTGCAGAATGTATAATGCCCCCTTTTCAGGGGGGGGTGAAGGGCTTTGATCAGAGGGGATTTGGTCTTTTTTTTAGTTTTAACCCCCGTTTTCCCCCCATTCCCCCCCCCCGTGTGGAAGTTGACGGGTTTTGCGCTTCCCTGAATTTAGTAAGTAGATCCAGACTGGGGGGGGGGGGGGGGAGTTTATTGGAAAAACGTTTTGACTGTGTTAATTTTTTTTACGTACGACCCGATAAGCCCCCATGGGGGGAAAAAAATTTAAAAATAAAATAATAAAAATAAAAAAAATAATAATAATTTTTTAAAAAAAATAATAATAAAATTTAATAATAATAGCAAAATTTTTTTAAAAAAATAATAAAATTTTATTATTATGATTTTTATTATTTTATTCTATTATTATTATTATTTTTATTATTTTATTATTTTTTAAAAAAAATTATAATTTTAAAAATTTTTAAAAAAATAATAAATTATTTTTATTAAAATAATCATTTTTATTATTTTTAATAATAAAAATAAAAATATTGTGTTATTATTATTATTTTATTATTTTATTATTATTATTATTTTCGTCATTTTTATAAATTATAATAATGCAATTATAAATTTAAAAATATTATAATAATAAAAATTATTATTATTATATTTTTTTAAAATAATTTAAAAAAATTGTAAAACAGGTTTTTCCCCCCGGGAAGGGGGATCCAAAAAAGAGGAAAACTTATCATCATTCTCCAATCATGTTTGCCCCGAAATTGTGACTTCACAGTTACGATGACCCCCTTTAACCCAACTTTTAGAGTTTTAACGTGGTGGAGTGTAGGCACTGTTCTTCCGACCCCCAGGACTCAATCCCGTAAGCCTTCCTTCCCTTGAATCCCACTTACCCCCACCATCCCATCAACACCTTCAAAAGCGTTGGATGTCCCAACCCAAGTACTCAAAACCCATTTTCCCCCCCTTTTTATCCCAATTTTTTCACCCTTTTGTACATTTGAATTTGCTTCATTCTAATGTCTGGATCATCTCAACAACGCTCCTAAACTTTCTAATTCTCCAAGATGCGAATTTTCTACAAAATACTCACACCAACATTGGCCCTCAAACACTCCTATCCACTTCCTCCAGAGTCTTCCTCGCTGCAACATTTAAAACCCATGCTTCACACCTATATGCAGTTTGGTACCACTATTCTTTGGTACAATTCTCCTTTTTGCCTCCGTATATCACGTCTTTATCTCTATTAACACCTCATACAGCTACCCACCGTTTTCCCCTTTGATCCGTCAATTCTATGGTTCATATAACTCTCATAGAACCGTCCACCGACATTGTCCAGTTCCAGATACTTGAAATTCTAGTTACTTCCTCCATTCCCCTCTTTCCAGTCTGACAACATCCATCGCTTAGACCTTTATTTTTTATACTTCCATCACCGTGCTCTTTCTATGTCAATTTTAATTTCCTTCTTTGTGTAACCTTCCAAATTCGTCCACCATCAACTTTTGCAACTTCTCTCTCTGTCTTCTAAAAGCACAGTGTCCATCGGCAAAAACAACTGTGATCAACACCCACTTTGTGTTTAGATTCATTATCTTCCATCCCACACCTCTCCCCAACCTTCAACGATTCACTCCTCTTACAACCCCATCTATAAATATTGTTAAGACACCATGGTAACATCATGTATCTCTGTCTAAGGCCTCATTTTACTGGGAATAATCTCTCGTAACGCACTCGAGACCTACGCCTCAGTATTCACTTTAACACTCTTTACTGCTTCTAAGTAACCTACCCTACCTTACTCTACGAACTAACCCCTACATTGCTCCCTTATTCACTCTATCACATATGCCTTTTCTAAAACCAAAATGCAATGATAAGTACCTTACATTTAAAGTAAGCATTGTTCATTTACAGTACTTCACTAAAAACCTTTGTCTGACACATCACTACCCTTCTTAAAACCTCATTGTTCCTCTAGCGATCCTATTTTTCTGTCTTTCCCTAAGCTCATTCAGTGAATAACTACCATACACGTTACTTAGCATACCCAAACACACCTCTGTCAATCTTTTTCTTCAGCTCTCACAGACGTCCTAGTGACCTTTTCTCCTTCCTTCCTTCCTTCCTTTCTCAGCCTTATTACCTGCTCCTTCACAGCTGTCTTCCTCCTGATGTGGCTGCCTTATTCACCGATAATTCACACACTCTCTCTTTTGCTCCCTTTTGTGTAAGAATTTACAAGGTAATACGCGACGTTTAACCGTGTAAGTTATGTAGCAATTATTATTATCATTGGAAGAAATAAGGGTAAGAAAAGCGAAAAGGTTTTAGGAAGTGTAGGGGATGTGTAGACCAAGTGTGAAGTATGTAAGTGAACACTGCTTGAATAGAGGTAAGGAAATTTTCTTTGCATTTATGGAATTAGAAATGACACTATTGGAGGATAGGCTAGCACTGTGACAGGTTTTATGTATAAAGTGATACGTACTTAAAGCAGAAAGATTGTTTATGTGATAGTGAAGCTCGGTTAGTATGCATGTAAAGAGGGTAGATAATTTTGCCAGTGCAAAATAGGCCTTAATAAAATAATAATAATAATAATAATAAGAAAAATAATAATAATAATAATAATAAAATAATAATAATAATAATAATAATAATAAAAATAAATAATACAATTGAGATTAAGTTATAGACACAAGTTTATTTAAATGTTTCATAGTTATATAATAAGCTCCGGGCAAGGGGAAACATCGTACTAGCTTCGGCTAGACGATATATAATATATATATATAAGATATATATATAATAAATATATATATATATATATAATATAAATATATAATATATATAGGGGGGTGCGGAATACCAAAACTGTTGTCCAGAGGGCTGAGGAAGGGTTGTTGAAGAGTGTTTCGGACATGTAGAGAGAATGGAGCGAAACAGAATGACTTCAAGAGTGTATCAGTCTGTAGTGGAAGGAAGGCGGGGTAGGGGTCGGCCTAGGAAGGGTTGGAGGGAGGGGGTAAAGGAGGTTTTGTGTGCGAGGGGCTTGGACTTCCAGCAGGCATGCGTGAGCGTGTTTGATAGGTAGTGAATGGAGACAAATGGTTTTTAATACTTGACGTGCTGTTGGAGTGTGAGCAAAGTAACATTTATGAGGGATTCAGGGAAACCGGCAGGCCGGACTTGAGTTCTGGAGATGGGAAGTACAGTGCCTGCACTCTGAAGGAGGGGTGTTAATGTTGCAGTTTAAAAACTGTAGTGTAAAGCACCCTTCTGGCAAGACAGTGATGGAGGAATGATGGTGAAAGTTTTTCTTTTCGGGCCACCCTGCCTTGGTGGGAATCGGCGGTGTGATAATAAAAAAAAAAAAATATATATATATATATTATATATATATATATATATATATATATATATATTTATATATAAAGGGTCATGCTTTTCTTTTCTGGTTATTAGCATGTTTACAGTGCTTATTCATTATATAAACATCGCCTTCTTCTTCCTCTCACTGTCCCTCCTGCTGCCACTTCCTCAGGATCGCCGGAGCCGCCGAGGTTTCACGGGCCGATGAAGGTAACGTTGAGGAAACACAAGCCCAACAGGAAGCCTCGAACTCCCTTCACCACCCAGCAGCTGCTGGCGCTGGAGAAGAAGTTCCGCGAGAAGCAGTACCTGAGCATCGCTGAGCGGGCAGAGTTCTCCGCCTCGCTCAACCTGACGGAGACGCAGGTCAAGATCTGGTTCCAGAACCGCCGCGCCAAGGAGAAACGCCTGAAGGAGGCCGAACTGGAGAGGCTTCGCTTCGCCTCACGTCCTCTTCTGCAGCAGAACCCTCTCCTCCCTCCCGCCTCCCTCATCCCTCACTTCCTCCTGTGTCACTCCTTTCCCCAGCTGCCCCAGCAGCTGCGGCCCCAGCAGCAGCCAGCCTTCGCTCCTTCACCGTCAGGAAGCTAGCAGAAGGTGTCTTGTCTAACACGCCAGTGTGTCCAGCTCATGTGAAGGCGTCCTCTCCCTCTCTTTCTCTCCTCTCTCACCACCTCTCTCTCTCTCTCTCTCCCCCCCAGTTTCCTTTCAAGCTGACCAACCTTGTGTGATTATTTTATATATTCGTGTAGAATTAATCCGCCGTGTGCGAGTCTTCGTTTTGGAACCCAGGGGTTACTGCGTAATTTCTCGGTCCCGGGCCAAAGAATTTCGACTTTCTCTTCCCCCTTTCCCCAATTCTTAACAAAAATAAAAAATAAGAATCTTAAGGTAATTTTGCAAATCTGGAGTAGTGATCGCTGACCAACTCACAAATGTAACTAAATAAATTTCATTACAAAACTTGCATAAATTGTCCAGGTCATTGCATTTAGGCAATCTTGCCTCTCAAGGCTGAGAATGTCTGGGTTTGCATTGAGATCGACACCATGCCTAACCCTTCTAGGGTAGGGTAGGTGCCTGAGCCCGAGCATTTAGCTCATAAGACTGTCATTCCCATTAGCCTCCTTGGGGCGGGGATGGCAGACCAGAGAGGCCTAGCTTGTGGCTAGGCCTGGGGACAGTTGGTCCCAAAGATGAGGAGGTACTTGTGCCTCCTCCCATGGGAGACTTAGGTCTCAGACACTCCCTAAAGAGGGAGCCAAGGCCGGGCCACCACTTGGACAAGGCCCGGGCCGGGAGAATACCGGCTAATCTTTAACTAACTAACTAAGTTTGCATTGAGATCGACACCATGCCTAACCCTTCTAGGGTAGGGTAGGTGCCTGAGCCCGAGCCTTTAGCTCATAAGACTGTCATTCCCATTAGCCCCCTTGGGGCGGGGATGGCAGACCAGAGAGGCCTAGCTTGTGGCTAGGCCTGGGGACAGTTGGTCCCAAAGATGAGGAGGTACTTTGCCCCCTCCCATGGGGGACTTAGGCTCGACACTCCCTAAAAGAGGGAGCCAAAACCGGGCCCCACTTTGGAAAGGCCCGGGGCCCGGGGAATACCGGCTAATCTTTAATAATAATAATAATAAAAAAGTTTGCTTTTACATCGACACCCTGCCCCAACCCCTTTTAGGGGAGGGAGGTGCCCGATCGACACATGCCTAACCCTTTTAGGGTAGGGTGGTGCCTTTTGACACATGCCTAACCTTCTAGGGTAGGGTAGGTGCCTGAGCCCCCGGGCCCTTTTGTCTAAGAATGTCATTCCCTTTTTCCCCTTGGGGCGGGGATGGCGACCCGAGAGGCCTAGCTTGTGGGTAGGCCCGGGGGCAGTTAGTCCCAAAAATGGGAGGTACTTGTGCCTCCTCCCTGGGGGACTTTGTCTCGACACTCCCTAAAAGGGAGCCAAGGCCGGCCCCCACTTGGGGGAAAAGGCCCGGGCGGGAGAATACCGGGGAACTTTTTAATAATAATAAAAATGTTTTTCATTTAGATCGACACCATGCCCAACCCTTCAGGGTAGGGTGGGGCCCGACCCCACCCTTTGTCAAAACTGTCATTCCCCTTAGCCCCCCTTGGGGGGGGGATGGCAGACCGAGGGCCTAGCTTGTGGCTAGGCCTGGGGGGCAGTTGGTCCCCCAAAAATGAGGGGGTACTTGGCCTCCTCCCATGGGAGATTAGGTTCAGACCCCCCCCCTAAAGAGGGGGCCCAAAACGGGCCAACCCCTTGGAAAAGGGGCCCGGGCCGGGAGAAAACCCGGGTAATCTTTAATAATAATAATAATAATAAGTTTGCATTTCCTCGACACCAGCCTAACCCTTTAGGGTAGGGGAGGTGCCTGGGCCCGGCCTTTTTGCTCTAGAGGGCATTCCCTTTTGCCCCCTTTGGGGGGGGATGGCAGACCAGAAGGGGGCCCAGTTTGGCTAGGCCTGGGGACAGTTGGTCCCAAAGATGAGGGGGTACTTGTGCCTCCTCCCATGGGAGACTTAGGTTCAGGCACCCCTAAAGAGGGGCCCAAAGGCCGGGCCCCCATTGGGAAAAAGGGCCCGGGGGGGAGAATCCGGCTAATCTTTAATAATAAAAAATAATAAGTTTGCTTGACACCTGCCCGTTTAGGTAAAGGGAGATGCCTAAAACCCGAGTTTCAGCTCACAAGCCTGCCTTCCTATCAGCCTCCCTTGGGGCGGGGATGGCAGACCAGGGGAGGCCTCTTCCCCTACACCCGTGAGGGGGGGAATGGGCTAGGCCTGGGGACAGTGGTCCAAAGATGAGGGGTACTTTTTACCTCCTCCCCGGGAGACTTAGGCCCCAGACACTCCCTAACAGGGAGCCCAAAGGCCG